GATGGGCTGTCGTCGAGGATGATGCAGATGGAGGTGGATTGAGGGTTGAACGGGTGGAGAGGGTGGGGGATTGGGATCCGATAAGGGTTTGTGCGGGCCTTGTTTGGGATTTTGGCGAGGGTGAGGATCAGGTAGAGGAGGTCGTCGTGTTCGAAAAGCTGGGCTTTTTGGTGGCTCGATTGGGATTTGATCCATTTGAGGAGGGCGGCGATGGCGCTTGAGAAGGATGCGCGGGCGATTGGATTGGGGGTAGGGTTACGGTTCGGAGAAGAGGAAGACGCCATTGAAAGAGAAAAGAGAGTTTAATAATTAATTAGTTTATTATTTTTTGCTCAGATACTTGCCACACAAAAATAACCTCTCCTCACGAACCGCAACCCTTGATATATCTGGGTAAAGAGTCGGATCGGGTAAACGCAAACCTTTATCCTCTTCATCCAACCCAACGGTGACGGCGGATCCCTTAGCGGTCGGTTCCAGCGACAACCCCTCTACCCGAATCCGATAGCCAACTTCTTCTTCCCTCCACCAAAGTAAGTCCTCAAATTCTCCCTCTCTTTCTCTCGAACTCCTCCTCTCTTCTTTCTTCTCAAAACCCTAGATTCTCAAACTTTTTAGGGTTTAAGCTATTTTTTGCCGTTCTTGCGAACCGAACTGTTGCAAGTCGGTTCGGTGCGGTTCGGTTCGGTTCTAACTTCATCAAACTACTTATCAAACAACAAACTGTGTTAAAGGAAAAAAGATATCAACAAAGTAGGAGATTATGAAGCATTAAACATTGATATAATGATATTATTTTTAACCCATAATGATTCAGAAAATGAGTTTAGGGTTTGAGTCTTTGACTCTTTGGGGTCGAGTCGGGTAGGGTTTGAGATCAGAATGGGTAGTATTGCACTATATTCGGTCAGTTCGGGTCGGTTCGGGTTGAAAAATTTTCAAACCGACCCGAACCGACCTACTCATAAAACCGATTTTTTTGGGTCGGTTCGGATCGGTTCGGTCGGTTTTTTCGGTTTGGACCGAACTACAATGAATCATGGTCCCTTTATATAGGGATGAGGAAAGAGTTATACATGGTAATTACAATCAAGGAATGAATCAAGCAAAATCTCCTAAATATATGCAATCTCTCAAATCAAGGCTCAAATCAAGGAGTAAATATTCTAGGCATATGTAGAATATTCTAACACCCCCCCTCAAGCTTATGGAGGCTTGAAGAGCATCCGGAGCTTGGATACGAGGAACTGGAACCTGGCAACCACATGAGGTTTAGTGAACAAGTCTGCTGTCTGAAACTCGGAAGATATGTGTGGTAGCAGAATATGCCCTTTAAGAAAGTGTTGACGAACAAAATGACAATCCACTTCAATATGCTTAGTGCGCTCATGAAAGACGTCATTGTGAGCTATTTGGATGGCACTTTTGTTATCACAGTATAAGGGCGTGGGGTCAAGATGGTCAATACCCATATCTTGAAGCAGCCAGTGAAGCCAAACAATTTCAGCAGAAGCATGAGCGAGAGCACGATATTCAGCTTCGGCACTGGAGCGAGCAACGACAGTTTGTTTCTTGCTTTTCCACGAGATAAGAGAATCACCAAGGAAAATACATTACCCAGTCGTGGAACGTCGATCAGTAATATCACCAGCCCAGTCTGAGTCAGAGTATCCTTGTAACATAGGACGAGATGTAGAAGCAAGATGCATGCCCTGGTGCAAGGTCCCTTTGATGTAGCGTATTATACGGAGAACGGCAACAAAATGAACAGAACGGGGAGCAGACATGAATTGGCTCACAATATGGATAGCATGACTGATGTCAGGTCTAGTGATAGTGAGGTAATTGAGACTTCCCACAAGTTGCTGATATAATGTAAGATTGGGTAGTGGGGTGCCATCAGAAGGGGAGAGTTTGACATTCATCTCAAGAGGAGTATTAGCAGTCTTGTTGTCAGTAAGGCCCGCTCGGGCTAGAATATCAGAGGCATATTTTACTTGGGAGAGGAAATAGCCTGTAGAGGAGTGAACAACCTCAATACCAAGGAAGTAGCGAATGACACCCAGATCTTTCATTTCAAAACACGAACTTAGATAAGCTTTGAGCCTGGATATACCATTGAGGTCATCCCCAGTGATAACCATATCGTCGACATAAAGCAGTAGAATAACAATGCCATGCGGAGAGGAGCAAGTAAACATTGCTGGGTCATGAGTGCTCTGAGAAAAATCGTGCTGCAGAATAGCTGTGGAGAATTTCTCAAACCAAGCCCGAGGCGCTTGTTTGAGACCATAGAGAGCCTGTCGAAGTTTGCAAACCTATCCAGGGGAATGAGGAAGCCCAGTGGGAGGTTGCATGTAGACTTCTTCATTTAGATCGCCATGAAGAAAGGCATTCTTAACATCCATCTGATGAAGAGTCCAATTGCGGATGGAGGCAACTGAGATAAGAGTGCGAACGGTTGTCATACGAGCGACCGGGACAAATGTTTCTTCATAATCGATTCCATACTCTTGAGTATATCCTTTTGCAACAAGACGGGCTTTGTATCTGTCAATAGACCCATCAGCCTTTGTTTTTATTTTGTAAATCCATCTGCATCCAACAACAGATTTTCCAGTGGGTAAATCCGTGAGAACCCAAGTTTCTGTTTTCTGAAGAGCAGCAAGTTCCTCAGACATAGCCTTCTGCCATTGAGGATCGGCAGAAGCCTCATGATATGACGATGGCTCATGGAGAGACAGTAGGGCAGAGAGGTAGCATTCGTAATCGGAATGCCAGACTGGTGGATGTCGGTCTCGGATTGGGCGCATTGAAGGTCCGTCGATGGGAGATACAGACTCAGGACAAGGTGTAGAGTTGTCAGCAGGTGGGCAGACAGTCACAGGTGTAGGGGGAAAGTCAGGTGGTGGCATAGGAGTGGCGACAGGATAAGTGGGAGGTGATATCACAGGATCAACTATAGGAGCAGTGACAGATGGCATAGGATCTGACACCAGAGGCTGTGGGAATGGATCGACAGGAAGAGAGGTCACAGTATTTGTGAGGGGATCTTTGGACAGGGTGATCTTTGGACAGGGTGTAATATGGTTTATGTTCCCAGAATGTAACATGACGGGAAATGCGAAGCCGTTTGGCAATCGGGTGTTTGCATCAAAAGTTGCTTCCATTGATAATTCTATTAAACTTCAGTCGTTTACAACGAATTACAATGTCGTGAAGAGGGGGCTTATGATTCTAACTTCGTTATCGAAGTAGAAATTGAAACGATATCTTATCGAAGTAAGATAGTCGTTCTTCTTAAAATCAAGTCAAAGCTTAATTTCAAGGCGTTGTATGAAAACTCAAATATGCTCTCTCTGCTCTGGAATGCTCGTAGATATGCTCGATCCTCGTCAGAAGTGACCCTAGGGGGGTATTTATAGCCTCAAGGGTCTGTAACTGCAAAAACTTAACAATCGAAGAAGTCAGTACGGCGAGACAGTGTTTACTGTCTCGCTGGGCGAGACAGCGTTTGCTGTCTCGACCCGCGAGACAGTAAATTTGCTGTCTCGCTCAGCGAGACAGTAAATGCTGTCTCGGAAAATGGCAGTTTCTCGCTGTAACTGCCTTCCCACGTTTCAAACTCCGTTATTTTGGCAGTTATTCACGTGATTTTCACCCACGATGTTTCCCACATCCCTTGGCAGTTAATGGACACGTGTAGGGCAGTTACCAAGGTGGGTTTTTGACCATTTCAAGCATGTCTTGCTGGCGAGACAGCAAAGCCTGTCTCACTGGCGAGACAATTCATACATGTCTTGATTTTCCAAAAACAGTATGAGATCCCTTTGAGTGATCTTCTTTATGTTTGGGATATCCATTAGCATTTTTTGACGCCTACAGATACCCCCTCCAAAGTATTCCAGACTCATTCTTTTATAGAGGAGCATGGGATACTTTGGATAAGATAGATTTTACTTACGATCCCTTCAATGCTTGGTTGAGCAGATCGTGTGAAAAGACTTGTGATTGGCTTCAATGCTTGATCTCTTCTGCTTTTAGTCTATTCAGTTCTTTGTAGAATAGCTAATGTTTTCCAGGCATCGCGTTTATCGCTTAACCGTTGTCGAGATCTCGAATTGAAGTTGGTACTTGTTCTTGTGGGTTCAGCTTTTATTATTGAATTGATATATCCATTGAGAGCTCATCAGGTTATCCTTAAGAATATTCAGATTAATATTCTCCAGAAACTTCCTGTTGAGGGAAGGAATACAGTTTAGACTCGTGTACCCATTGGAGTATTCATCTGCATCGCAATGCGAGACAGAGAGGGTTCGTTGTCTCGTTCAGCGAGACAGAGTATGCTGTCTCGCTCAACGAGACAGATTATGCTGTCTCGCTCAGCGAGACAGATAGGGTTCGTTGTCTCGCTCAGTGAGACAGATTATGCTGTCTTGCTCAGTCGAAACAGATTATGCTGTCTCGCTCGGCGAGACAGTGTTTTCTGTCTCGCTGACCGAGACAGTGTTTTCTGTCTCGCTTAGCGAGACAGAGTTTTCTGTCTCGCGATGCGAGCCAGCGAGTATAAAACTCGAACTTAGGGTTTTTTAGGGCTTTTTCACGTCAATTTCTGGGCGATTTTCAGGCGATTTCTTGGGCGATTTTCTGCAGTTATTTGTCTTTTCTCCTTCTCCTCATTTCTGATTCGTGGGGAGTTGTTGTTTGGTGGTGATTCTACTCGGATTTGACAGGTTTGATTTCCCTCTTTTCTTTTAAATCTTGATTTTCTTCAACTGTGACTGTGCATGCATTGTTTCGGCCATACTTCGTGATATTTTAGTTGATTTCATGCTTAAAATCCTGACTTTCCTCTTGGGTTCCAATGTAGATCGTATTTTCGTCATGTCACCACGTAGAGCTCGAGGGACTCGGGGCCATCCGACTGTTCAGAGCCCTGAGGCGGCTGCCCCTGTCGCCGCTTCGCATGGAGGTACATTTCTCTCACCCTTTCGCGATTTTAAACACTGTATTTCTTCAATTTCATGCGTCAATATTTATGTTTGCATGCAGATCCTCGTTTGTATCCTTTGAGATACCCTCGAGAAGAGCCGGTATCCTCCTTTGAGGGGATCGACGCTTAAAAGTGTTTGTTTTGCTTTGACAAAACACACTTCAGAATGCACAGGGGCGATTTCATATCATCCCACGTGTATTGAAAGGTTTTGGTATGCCGTTATAATGCCCGTGCATAGTAACGCATATCTCCTTTATACATATGGTAGATGGAAAATCGTCACACCTG